ATTTTTCTTGCTTTGACCTTACATAAAAAGTATAAATAATCCTTTGTATGTTAAATTAACTATGAATAGTGTTTTCTTCTGACCTCTAAGTAATACATTGACCTTGACCTTTGATGCTCCATGTCTGATGACCATTTTTGTAGTTATATTGTTTGATTTTATTAACCTGTCAATTCCATACTGATTATACGGTCAATGCACAGAATATATTAATATTCGATAAATGTTCGGTAAAGTCCGGGAGAGGTATGCAGTAAGATGTGATTAAATTCATCTAGTTTCGATGAATAAGTAACACTGACCGTTATAGCGCAGTAGGTTAAACCATGGGTATATAATAGCTAAATGTCCTACATGTTGTATGATCGAGACAGGGTATGCCAAGGGTTATTTTTCTTATTCATGACTATTTTCATATTTTTATAAGTTATTGTTGTTCGGTTTTTAATATGTTTTGCACTTTTGTAAATACTATACTTTTGTATATAACATTGTGTAAGAATTATTACTGAAAATTCATTCGGATTAAAATCAATAAAAGTAATTTCAGTGCCGTAAAGTACAATACAAAATGTGACAATTCAGTGTTTCTTAGTTGTTTCATATCCGTGTAGATAATTTTGCAAGTGCTTGGCAATTATCATTAAAATATACTTAAAAAAGAGCACCGCTAGGCGGAGCATTATATGCCCGAAAGTGTTTTTTTTTTAGTAAGGATGAAGCATTTGTAAGACATGGGAATTCCCTGTTCATCCTATAAAATTTTACAGCTGTAGGTTGATTAATACTTAAGTCATTAATAATGACCTTAACCTTTGACCTTGTGACCCCTAAATCAATAGGGGTCTTCTACCTTATATGGACAATCATCCTTAGAAGTTTGAATATTGTGGGCCAATTGGAACTTTAATTATGCTCTAGAAACTGTTTTCAGTATTAAGGTAAAAGTGACTTTGACCTTTGACCTTGTGACCCCAAAATCAATAGGGGTCTTCTACCCAATATGGACAATCATCCTATGAAGTTTGAATATTGTGGGCCAAATTGAACTTACGTTATGCTCCGGAAACTGTTTTTGGTTTTAAGGTAATTGTGACCTTGACCTTTGACCTAGTGACCCCAAAATCAATAGGGGGTCTTTTGCCCAATATGGACAATCATCCTATGAAGTTTGAATATTGTGGGCCAAATGGAACTTAAGTTATGCTCCAGAAACTGTGTTCAGTTTAAAGGATATAGTGACCTTGACCCATGACCTTTTGACCCCAAAATCGATAGGGGTCTTCTACCTAATATGGACAATCATCCTATGAAGTTTGAACACTGTGGGCCAAATGGAACTTAAGTGATGCTCCGGAAACTGTTTCCAGTATCAAGGTAATAGTGACCTTTGACCTTGTGACCCCAAAATCAATAGGGGTCTTCTACCCAATATGGACAATCATCCTATGAAGTTTAAACATTGTGGGTCAATTGGAACTTAATTTATGCTCCGGAAACTGTTTTCAGTATCAAGGTAATAGTGACCTTGACCTTTGACCTTTCGACCCCAAAATCAATAGGGGTCTTCTACCCAATATGGACAATCATCCTATGAAGTTTGAACATTGTGGGTCGAATGGAACTTAAGTTATGCTCCGGAAACTGTTTTCAGTTTTATGGTCATAGTGACCTTGACCTTTGACCTTGTGACCCCAAAATCAATACAGGTTTCTACCCAATATGGACAATCATCCTATGAAGTTTGAACATTGTGGGTCAATTGGAACTTAAGTTATGCTCCGGAAACTGTTTTCAGTATCAAGGTAATAGCGACCTTGACCTTTGACCTTGTGACCCCAAAATCAATAGGGGTCTTCTACCTTATATGGACAATCATCCTATGAAGTTTGAACATTGTGGGTCGAATGGAACTTAAGTTATGCTCCGGAAACTGTTTTTAGTTTTAAGGTCATAGTGACCTTGACCTTTGACCTTTTGACCCCAAAATCAATAGGGGTCTTCTACCCAATATGGACAATCATCCTATGAAGTTTGAACATTGTGGGCCAAATGGAACTTAAGTTATGCTCCGGAAACCAAATTGCTAACGGACGGACGGACGGACGGACAGACGGACGGACGGACGGACAGACAGACGGACGCCAGGGGGTATAACATAATATGCCCTTTCGGGCATATAAAAAGAGAGAATAAGTCTCAAAATACTGTCAAAAGAAGGGATCGAACCTTAGGACCTCTGATGCATAAGGTAATCACTTAACCGACTGTGCTATTGCAGATGTTACGAGAAACTCCATTAAGCTAGTGGGAGTTTTCCAAACATAAGTTATATACTCCATATTAATTCTCGTAATTTAAACGGACAAAACCGAAGTGGGATCGAATATTTAAATGAGTGCTATAACGTATTCATAATTGACAGGTCAATAAAATAAGACTATACTAGGATCACTCTATGTTTGTAGAAGATAAGCTCCGGACAAATTCTTTACATTAAATCATCTCTAGTGACCTTGACCTTGCATATATCAACCTGAATTATGCTGACAATATTCAGTCTTTATTTTATTTTACCCATGAAATATGGTGCTATATCAGTCAAATATATTTCATATTTTTTAAAAATGAATATGAAACATAAATATGAATGTGGGCGGAGTCAAAACTCATATTTATTTTAAGGGACTTCTTTCCCCATTTTGTTTGAAAAATCAGAGTAATACAAAACAATTTTTTGTTGAATTTTGTTTTGAAAACTATCTAGAATGATAGAAAATGGTCTATCTAAGAAAATAAATCCGAACACAAATATATTTAATTCAGTCATTAACACTGTATAGACGTTTAAAGAGTTGTTTACATGACGCCAATATGTAGCGCTAAATATCGCATGCAAAACAAGACAATAATTATATTACTGCGCGCTGTACAATTGCAGTTGCGTAGCAAGCAAGGGGGTTCGTAACCATTTTTTTTATAATGAAATTAAATAGGTTATTTTTTCGTTTTTTTGTGAAATATGGTATATATTTTCACTCAACATGATAAAATGCCACATATTTTCACTCCCCGTCTCGGCATTTTATCATGTTTCGTGAAAATATATTCCATATTTCACTGAAACAAAAAAATATCCTCTTAATATTATGGTGATCATTAAGTGATACCAGACCGCAATCAAAGACTATAACATTCCGCCGCCAGTCCACATGCAAATTCATATTTTTTTAAATCTTATTTGTGCCTCTGACCTTGGCCACAGGGACAAGAATTTTGCACACAACAATCTGCTTCATATATTAAATATTTGTGCCATGTGACATTTAAATAAATCCCTAAATTTAGGAGAAATGTTTTATTGGATAGGCATTTTTTTGACCTCTATGTTTGACCTTTGACCTAAAGACCTGGTTCAAATGTGACACTAGGACTGATGGTTATGATCATTTGTACCAAGGAAGACTGAAATCCATCCATGCATGTATATGGTTCATACAATTTTGTTTTTCAGGCAGAATTTAAGGGTTTCTTTGGAAGTTTTTTTTAAAGCCCAAGGACTTACAGGAGTGATTTGCAGAGTAAGAAATGGTTAAAACTACTACCACAAATACTAATTAGAAATGCAATTCTTTTGACTTTTTACAACTTTATAAAACCTATTTTGAAATAGTTGAAAATGCAAATTCTAGGGTTTTTTTTTCAAGACAATCGGAAGTTAATCTTTAAGGGTTTTCTCAAGGGCAGAATTCATGAAGTAGAAGATATGTATGTTAATGCCCTAGAGCAGGTTATGTACAGTACTTATAGAAGAAGAAAGATGTTTGGACAAAACTGTACATTGCCTGGATGCCAACAACCAATTAAGGACACTCACATTATACAAAATCAAGTGACATTTAATTATGTTCTTCAAAAATTCAATTACCTGCTAAGTCATCTGCCTCTGCTATTTTCTGGTGTCTTTTTCGTCTACAAAATACTTTCTTTTGTCCCCCAGTTCCGTGCTTATGTTCATGAAATCTAATGTAGCTCAATGAAAACAACTCTCCACAATATCGGCAAGGATATCTCTTTGAAATCATTTGTATACCATTTATTGTATTGTACACCTTAACAGGTTTTCTCCTGTAGTACTTCCTTTTTGAATCCTTTATTTCTTTACCCAAGGCTCTATATTTATAGTTTGTTTGGTTTTCTAAAGATGACCCTATGTTCTTAAATCTATCATTCTTCATCGAAACTTTACCCTCTTCAAAAGTACTGCCTGTCAGTGTTTTCACTGGTTCTTTATGTTTGAATTTTCCATTCTCACTAGCTTCGTCACTCATCTCCAGCATTGTATCTTCAATAACTTCTTCAGGTTCCCTCTTGCTGCCTGTTTCAGCAACATGTTCTTTAGGGCACACCATGTCATTATGAGTCATAGGCTCCAAATCACTTGGACTCATTTTCTGTTTGGTCCAATGACATTGATCTGCTGTTCCATCTACAACAGTGCTACTTTGTGATAATGTACAAGCTTTCCTCTTTGTGGCTCTTCTTTTTTCCCTCAGGTTTTTATATGTCTTTAGTATTTGTTTACTAGCCATGTCATCAGTCTCTGCTATATTTTCACATCTCTTTCTCCTACATAAAACTTTCTGCTGCCCTCCAGTCCCATGCTTGTGTTCATGAAATCTTACATAGCTCCATGAAAATAATTCACCACAATATCTACAAGGATACCTCTTTGAGATCTTTTGTTCACCATTTATTGTTCTGTACACTTTAATAGGATTTCTTCTTATATATTTCCTTTTTAAATTCTTGACATTTCTACCTATGGCACTTTCTGAATCATTTACAGGATTTGGTATAGCTGTGTTCTGTATGTTTTTAATCTTTTCCTGGTTGTTAGAAGCTTGAACATCTTCTATTTCTCTGCTTGCAGTTGTTTTCCCTAAATCTTCAGGTATACTCTTCCAACTCGCATAAATTTCGTCATTTTTGTCTTGCACCTTTTCTCCAATATTATCTCCTTCAACACTAAGTCCTTTTGCCTGCAACATGCCATTATCTTTATCTTCCTGTGATTCTTCTCTTTTGTAAATCATTTTCCATTTGGTCAAATTTGTATACTTGTCTTTTGTTTCATCTTTAACACCTCCTGACAAAATACTTATTTTATTCTTTTCTTCTTTTGATTTTCTTATCAAGCCTTTATATGTCTTCAATATTTGTCGATCTCTAAATGCAATGGCCGAGGTTACGTTTTCACTTGTGTTTTGTCTACATAATACTTTCTGCTGTCCATCTGTACCATGCTTATTTTCATGATGTCTAACATAGTTGCTTGAAAACAATTCACCACAAAATTTACAAGGATATCTTTTTGCAATCGTTTGTACACCATTTTTTGTCTTGAAGACTTTAATTGGATGTCTTCTGTAGTATTTCCTTTTGGAAATCCTGACTTCTTTACCTAAGGCATTTTCTGAATTATTAGTAAGATTTTCTGGACTTGCTGATTTAGCTGCATTATGTACACCATTTATCTCCTTTTGAATTTTAAAAGAATTATTATCTTCCAAAGCACTGCCTGCAATTGCTTTCTGTAACTTTCTGGGTCTACTTTTCTCATTCTCACTATTTTCCCCATTTCCATCTTGCAACTTTTCACCAATATTAACGGTTGATTCTTTTTTGTTGCTATCTGCCTCAACACAGTGTCCCTTTGTCAGTAACATGGCATCATCTTTATCTTCTAGTGACATTCCTCTCTCATAAGACATTGTCAATCCTGTCATATTTGTATAGTTGTCTTTAGTTTCATCTTCAACACGTTTTATATCATTTGCTCCTTGCGACAAAGTATTTAATGTATTCTTTGTGCCTCTTGATTTATTTCCTAAGCTTTTATATCTCTTAAGAATTTTTTTACTAGCCATGTCATCAGTCTCTGCTATATTTTCACATCTTTTTCTCCTACATAAAACTTTCTGCTGCCCTCCAGTACCATGCTTATGTTCATGAAATCTTACATAGCTCCATGAAAACAATTCACCACAATATCTGCAAGGATATCTCTTTGAGATCTTTTGTACACCATTTATTGTTCTGCACACTTTAATCGGATTTCTTCTGATATATTTCCTTTTCAAAATCCTGACATCTTTACCTAAGACACTTTCTGAATAACTAGTAGGATTTTCTGGACTTAAAGGTGCAGTTACATCATACATGTTGTTCATTTTAATCTTGATGTTAGGAGCTTCATCATCTTTCAGTTCCACCCCTTCAATTATTTTCCCAAATGCTTTAGATATACCCTTCCCACAATCACTTTTTCCTCTTTTTTTGTCTTTCACCTTTTCTCCAATGTTTTCAGTTGATTCTATTTTGTTGTTATCTGTCTTAACACCATGTCCATTTGCTTGCAGCATGACATTATTTCTATCCTCTAGTGACACTTTTCTAAATTCAATCACATTTTTATTCTTGTCTTTAGTTTGATCTGCATCACCACCAGTGGCATCTTGTAACAAAGTTTTTGCTTTGCTCTTTTTATCTCTTGATTTTCTTGTCAATCCCTTATATGTCTTCATTTTTTCTGTACCTTTAAAGTCATTGATTGCAGCATCTTCTTTATTTTTGTTCCCTCTACATAATACTTTCTGCTGTCCTTCTGCACAATGCTTGTGTTCATGACATCTAACATAATTGCTTGAAAACAATTCACCACAATATTTACAAGGGCATCTATTTGAAATTTTTTGAACACCATTCATTGTTCTGTACAATTTGATAGGATTTCTTCTGTAGTACTTCCTTTTTATATCCTTAATTTCTTTACCAGAGACACTTTCTGACTTTTTAGGATTTTTTAACCTGATAGGTGCAGCTGTATCCACTATGCTGTTAACCTTTATTTGACTGCTAGAAGCTTCATCAACTCCTAAAACACTGGCGGTCACAATTTCCCCTAAATTTCCTGATCCTCCTTTTCCATTGTCATGAATTTCACTGTGTTTGTCCTGCAAATTTTCTTTAATTTCAAAAGTTGATTCCATTTTGTTAGTATCTGTTTCAACAAAATGTCCTTTAGTTGTTTCTTCACCAATGCAGGTATGTTGTGACAAAGTACTTGTAATAATCTTTGCTTTTTTTGACTTTCTTGTAAAGCCTTTATCAGCAACTATTTCTTTACTTGTACTTGGTCTACATAATACTTTCTGCTGTCCTAAAGTAGCATGCTTGTGTTCATGAAATCTTACATAGCTGCTTGAAAACAATTCACCACAAAATTTACAAGGGCATCTTTCTGAAATCTTTTGCACACCATTTATTGTCCTGAACACTTTCATGCGATTTCTTCTATAGTACTTTCTTTTTAGGTCCTTAGCTTCTTTACTCAAGACACTTTCAGACTTGTAGGCAAGATTTTCTGAGCTTAAAGGTGTAGCTGTATTTTCTATGTCAATCCTTTCCTGTGCAACAGAAGCTTCCTCACCTACAAAACCACTGCCTGCTTTTGTTTCCACCAAATCTATTAACCGTTTATCTCTTCCGTTATCGTAATTTTCCTCAATCTTATCACATATCTTATCCCTAACATTTTCACTAGATCCAAGTCTGTTGTCCAATGTTTCAAACTCTTGCAATTGTTTCTGCAGCACACTATCTTTAGGTTTCGATGATGGCATTCTCCTGCAACTCCAATCACTAGCGTTTGTATGGTGATCTTCAGCTTCATCATCAAAAGTATAAAGGTTGTGGGAACCATCTGATAAAATAGTTGTTCTATTCTCTGCTCTTTTGGAATATTTTATTTGACCTCTAGTTCTCATTAGTTCTTTTATTTGCTTTCCCAACAATCGAACAGTTGTAGGAGTGGGCATGAACATCATTTTTGACGGTATTATTGTCTGTATGTTTTCATCCATCAAACAATCATCTTTTTCTTCATTTATGTCTATTTCAGCAATTTTGGCTATTTCAGTATCTTTGGTTTTCTCTTTTGTAATAGAATGTTTGTCCATCTGATATGGTTTGCTCCCGCTTGATACATTATCACATGCCTTTACTTCTTCAACTACATTCTCTGTTTCCGTATTAGTATCTTTTCCAGAATTCTTCACATTATGCAATACTTTATCTTTTCTTATCCAAAATTCCCTTTTTTGATGATATTTTCCAAAACTTCTGTCACTGACAACAATTTCTTCCTTTAAAGTGACAGGATCTAGTTTCCTTGAATGTTCTTCTTCATTAACACATTCTGGCAATTCTTTAGCAGTATCTTTAAGCCTATGCTTTGTCAAACAATTAAAATCTGATCCTTGCTTCTCGTAAGTCTTCATTGTTTTAGTTATCTTGCCATTCAGAAGATACTTTCCAGTCTTTGTGCCTAAATTACTGACCTTATCTCCATGCCAACTTTCCTTTAGTCTAAAATTGATCCTGCTTTTCCTTCTGCCAGTATACAACTGCGAATCTGGCTTTGGTTTCCAGGACAGTCCAGCTTCATCAAGTGACTCAGCTTCATTATTCTTACAAATATTGACTTGACCATCAGCAACAATGAAAGTTTTGATATTTGTATTTGATTCTTCACAATTGTTACCTGCTTGGTTGCAGTTTTCAGGGATATATTCAATATCTGTACTTTTTATTGTATCATTATCATGTTCAAGTAACACTCTTTTATCTTGCCTGACACTTTCATCTTTAAAAGTTTTATGAGATTCAAGTTTTTCAAATGGTAGATCACTCACATTTAGAAGTGAAACAAAGTTACCATTGTTGCTTTTAGTAAAATTGTTTCTCACAGCATCTCTAAATTTTTCATTTCCAGTCCTACCACAATCACTTGCTTTTATGTTACCACTAATACACTCTTTTAAATCTGACCCTTCTGTAACCATTCCAATCACACTTGAACTTATAGCTTGAATATTACATGTTCTCAGTTTTGTATCCTGAACATTAGTTTTATCAGTTTTGTCACTTTCTTTCTTACTTAGAGGTTCCTCTTGCAAATGACTCATTATATCAATGTCATTACTTTCTTTTTCAAATTCTTTTTTATCACCTTTCTCACATTCATCATCACCCTTTCCAAGGCTTTCATTCTCTTGTATTGTTCTATTGTCAATAACACTTTCAACTATTGTACTGTTTACAGTTTCAGAAACAACTTCATCATCAGACAGCCATATGTACTCATAGTGAATATCCTCATGTGCATCAGCAGCTACAACTTCGTTTGCCATTTTGTCATCAACAATATCATTTATATCAACATTAGAATCTATACTGCTGTCTTCAACAAGTCCTGTCAAGCATATGTTTTCTTCTCCAGAAGCATAACTGGACTGTTTTTCTGAAAAAGAAAGACAAGAAAAAGTCTTATGATCTGATAACACTGAGAAATTTGTTTCAACATCACTGATCTAAACTCCATTATTTATTTGAACCACTTGTGTCCACATACTGAAGAGACAGATAAGTTTGTTTGGTTTTAATGCCAATTTTAACATTTTTTTATTTCAAATCTTCAGGATGGCCCATTTCACTGTTTTTCCTAGAAAAACAAAAGCCGGTTGAACCGGGTGATGCTCCCCGAATAGGTTTTGGACACAGAAAGGTATACTCTTGTAGTGTCAGAGTTATGTCACAGACAAAGTTCAAATTGTAAAAACAACCAAAATGTTGTGCGCGACACATTGTCTCAATATGGTGATCATTTCTGTCAAATACTGTATGTGTAGAAATATTCGCGGGCTTCAAATTTTCGCGATCTTCGCGTTGACATTCGATCCGCGAATTTATGTTTAGCGCGAATATTTCTACACCAATAATTTCTTAATAATCATATTTTCGCGCTTCTGTAGAACAATGTATATCAGTGTGCGATATGCTTTCACATTTTTTATTTAAATCTTTACTGAGTAAATTGTGTTTTGTTTTCCAAGTTATTCATTATTTTAAATCGTTTATGTTTGTGTTTTTTATTGTTTGTTCAGAAAAACTAAAACATGATCTGATCAGATGTCAAGACGTTTATGACGCAAACTGTGAAAAATTATGCACGTAACGTATTCTTTTGTTTGCTATAATCTGTCCGTTAGACAATGTCTTTTTTCTTTACATGTACAATAGAGTATTGTTTGACACCTGGTATTGAAAATAACTGTGAACTCCCATGATGATTACAGTAATTTTCTTTTTTTAACCCGAGTGGTCTACGCGAATTTATGATTTTCGGCAGTCAGCTCCGCGAATTCAAAATAGCGCGAATATTTGTATAGACCCCCAAAAAGGACCTTTCCGCGAAAATTTGCTTCCGCAAATTTAAATACACATACAGTAGTTTTCAAATCCTACTTCGAATAAAATAGTTATGGGCTGGATGCGATTTTGCTACAAGGTCATGCTGTGACCTTGACCTTCAAGGTAGCGACCCAAATGTTGCGTGTGACACATGGTCTCAATATGGTGATCATTTCTGTGAGAGAGTTTTAAAATCCGACTTCAAATAACGAAGTTATGGGCCAGACACGATTTTGCTGCAAGGTCATGCTGTTACCTTGACCTTTAAAGTAGCGACCCAAATGTTGCGCGCGACACATCGTTACCTAGAATTTCCAAGTCAAAAAAGGGGGCATAATTATTCAAAAAAGCAAATCAGAGTTATGGGACTTGTGCCAATCATCTTAGATAATCACAGTAAACAAGTGTGTGAAGTTTCAATCCATTCCCTTCAGTAGTTATGGAGATACCAGCTTACACGCAAAAACTTAACCAAGAATTTCTAAGTCGAAAAAGGGGCATAATTATGTAAAAAAGCAAATCAGAGTTATGGGACTTGTGCCAATCATCCTAGATAATCACAGAAAACAAGTGTGTGAACTTTCAATCCATTTCCCTTCAGTAGTTATGGAGATACCAGCTTTACACGCAAAAACTTAACCAAGAATTTTCTAAGTCGAAAAAGGGGCATAATTATGTAAAAAAGCAAATTAGAAACAAGAACTGTCGGAGGACAGTAACGCTCGACTATTCGGAAATTTGTCACAAGGGTGTTTCATTGAGTATATAATAATGCTTACCTTTTATGAATACATAAAATTGTCCAAAAAGGTACAAACCCTTCAAGTTTCAATACATTCCCTTCAGTAGTTATGGAGATGCAAGCTTACACGTAAAAACTTAACCAAGAATTTCTAAGTCGAAAAAGGGGCATAATTATGTAAAAAAGCAAATCAGAGTTATGGGACTTGTGCAAATCATCTTAGATAATCACAGAGAACAAGTGTGTGAAGTTTCAATCCATTCCCTTCAGTAGTTATGGAGATACCAGCTTACACGCAAAAACTTAACCAAGAATTTTTAAGTCGAAAAAGGGGCATTATTATGTAAAAAAGCAAATCAGAGTTATGGGACTTGTGCCAATCATCTTAGATAATCACAGAGAACAAGTGTGTGAAGTTTCAATCCATTCCCTTCAGTAGTTATGGAGATACCAGCTTACACGCAAAAACTTAACCAAGAATTTCTAAGTCGAAAAAGGGGCATAATTATGTAAAAAAGCAAATCATAGTTATGGGACTTGTGCCAATCATCTTAGATAATAAAAGAGAACAAGTGTGTGAAGTTTCAATCCATTCCCTTCAGTAGTTATGGAGATACCAGCTTACACGCAAAAACTTAACCAAGAATTTCTAAGTCGAAAAAGGGGCATAATTCTGTAAAAAAGCAAATCAGAGTTATGGGACTTGTGCCAATCATCTTAGATAATCACAGAGAACAAGTGTGTGAAGTTTCAATATATTCCCTTCAGTAGTTATGGAGATACCAGCTTAACATACAAAAACTTAACAAGAATTTCTAAGTCAAAAAAGGGGCATAATTATGTAAAAAAGCAAATCAGAGTTATGGACTTGTGCCAATCATCTTAGATAATCACAGAGAACAAGTTTGTGAAGTTTCAATCCATTCCCTTCAGTAGTTATGGAGATACCAGCTTACATACAAAACTTAACCAAGAATTTCTAAGTTCAAAAAAGGGGCATAATTATGTAAAAAAGCAAATCAGAGTTATTGGACTTGTGCCAATCAGCTTAGATAATCACAGAGAACTAGTGTGTGAAGTTTCAATCCATTCCCTTCAGTAGTTATGGAGATACCAGCTTACATACAAAAACTTAACCACAGGGACGCCGCCGCCGACGCCGCCGCTGACGCCGACAAATGGGTGACTGCATTAGCTCGATTATTCTGGCGAATAGTTGAGCTAAAAATGGGGACTTGTGCCAATCATCCTAGATAATCACAGAAAACAAGTGTGTGAACTTTCAATCCATTCCCTTCAGTAATTTATGGAGATACCAGCTTACACGCAAAAACTTAACCAAGAATTTCTAAGTCGAAAAAGGGGCATAATTATGCAAAAAAGCAAATCAGGAGTTATGGGACTTGTGCCAATCATCATAGATAATTACAGAAAACAAGTGTGTGAACTTTCAATCCATTCCCTTCAGTAGTTATGGAGATACCAGCTTACACGCAAAAACTTAACCAAGAATTTCTAAGTCGAAAAAGGGGCATAATTATGTAAAAAAGCAAATTAGAACAAGAACTGTCGGAGGACAGTAACGCTCGACTATTCGGAAATTTGTCACAAGGGTGTTTCATTGAGTATAATAATGCTTACCTTTATGAATACATAAAATTGTCCAAAAAGGTACAAACCCTTCAAGTTTCAATACATTCCCTTCAGTAGTTATGGAGATGCAAGCTTACACGTAAAAACTTAACCAAGAATTTCTAAGTCGAAAAAGGGGCATAATTATGTAAACTAGAAATGTGTCATCATGCCACGGATGCCCCCGCATGCAGCCAAAATTTCAGATGTTATAATATTTAGTTCCAAATTTGTTTGCACAAATTATTGTTTTCATTTTAAGTTCAAAGCCCTTAAAACTTTTCAACGTTTACACAAACCATTTTCATACAATGTTCAAGGCACTATAATTATTCAGTCTTAACCTTTTGAAAATAGCATATTTCATATTTGTAGCCAAAATAATGGCTACATACATTTCCACAAAAGTACGAGTGCTGAAACTGAAAGTTCAAATTTTTTCCAATATTCAAGAAAGATAAGTTTGTCCAAAATCATTGAACCATGACCAAATTCAAACTTAAACTGCTTATTCCTAAGATGTATCTATATTATTTTCAAAGTAAAAGGGGCATAACTCTGCCAAAAATCATCGAACCATGACCAAATTCGAACTTGACCTGTATTTTCTCATGACATATCCATATGCCAAATTTGAGTTGAATATGTAACACTGTTGGGTAGATAATGAACAGAAACTGTAAATTTCATATTATTTTCAAAGTGAAAGGGGCATTACTCTGCCAAAATCATTGAACCATGACCAAATTCGAACTTGGCCTGGGCATTCCAAAAAATATCCATATGTGAAATTTGAGTTGAATGTGTTTGTACTGTTGGGGAGATAATAAACAGAAACTGAAAATTTCATATTATTTTCAAAGTAAAAGGAGCATAACTCTGCCAAAAATCATCGAACCATGACCAAATTCAAACTTGACCTGTATTTTCTCATGACATATCCATATGTCAAATTTGAGTTGAATGTGTTGTACAGTTGGGGAGATAATGAACGGAAACTGAAAATTTCATATTATTTTCAAAGTAAAAGGGGCATAACTCTGCCAAAAATCATCGAACCATGACCAAATTCGAACTTGACCTGTATTTTCTCATGACATATCCATATGTCAAATTTGATTTGAATGTGTTGTACCGTTGGGGAGGTAATGAACGGAAACTGAAAATTTCATATTATTTTCAAAGTAAAAGGGGCATAACTCTGCCAAAAATCATCAAACCATGACCAAATTCGAACTTTACCTGTATTTTCTCATGACATATCCATATGTCAAATTTGATTTGAATGTGTTGTACCGTTGGGGAGATAATGAACGGAAACTGAAAATTTCATATTATTTTCAAAGTAAAAGGGGCATAACTCTGCCAAAAATCATCGAACCATGACCAAATTCCAACTTGATCTGTATTTTCTCATGACATATCCATATGCCAAATTTGAGTTGAATATGTGCAACCGTTACTAAGATAATGAACGGAAACTGATGATGACGGAATGACAGAATGACGGAATGACGGAACAGGGTAACACTATATGCCCCGGCCATTACATGGCGGGGGCATAAAAAGCAAATCAGAGTTATGGGACTTGTGCAAATCATCTTAGATAATCACAGAGAACAAGTGTGTGAAGTTTCAATCCATTCCCTTCAGTAGTTATGGAGATACCAGCTTAC